ATGTCGTTTGCGAGGTTCACGGCCTGCCTCGTTAGTGAAACGACATGTCATTTCCATATGTCTCAAAATGACTTGTCGTTTGCAAAGTTCACTGGGGCTGTCTCAATAGTGAAACGACATGTCATTTCCATACGTAACAGAAACGCCTAGCAAAGCTAAGGCATGAAAGCGGCAGCCCATTTCCGGAAAGATATCAATATTTTTGTCCCAAAGACAATTATTATAGAAGAAAAGTCAAATTTTATTCTTAAAAATTTTCAATCGATTAAATTACCATTTTTATATTTAGGAAAATTTTTGTAATAATTGGGTCTAACATTACATATACACTCTGAAGAGGGTAAACATATTGTACAATTTTATTTTTTTTTATATAAAAGAATGATGTTTTTAGACTATTAAAGTATGTACTATTTTAATATCATTAAAAATAGTCGAGTGTGATTGTTGAGAGATTCTTCATCACCTCCAATGTAGTTCTTTTGATACTCCACAATTTTGGCAAGGACCTTACAATCGTCTTCACTAGTTCACTTTTCTTAAATGGTTTATTAAGAGAATTTAAACTATTAGCAAAACAGTTTAAAGCTATTGGCAGATGGTAGCATTGAACGTTTTAAAGCTAGACTAGTAGCAAAAGGGTACACTCAAACTTATAAGATCAACTACACAGAGACATTTGCACCTGTAGCTAAGATCAACATGGTTCGAGTATTATTGTCTTTAGCTGCAAGCTTGGATTGGGCGTTACAACAGTTTGATGTAAAGAATGCCTATCTACATGGTGAGTTGTCAAAAAAAAAAAATACATGGATCTCCCATCAGGATGCATGGCGTCAGAAAAGCATTGTAAAACGGTGTGTAGATTGTAGAAGTCATTATATAGGTTAAAGCAATTCCTGAGAGCATGGTTTGGAAGGTTCCCAAAGTTCATGACAGCTTTTGGCTACCGTCAAAGCAATTCATATCACACTTTGTTCCTGAAGAAACAACATGATAAGGTTACAACACTCATCGTATATGTGGATGACATGGTGGTTACAGGAAATGATCTTGAAGAGCGAAAAGCTCTACAGAATTATCTATTTAGAGAATTCGAAATGAAAGATCTAAGTCCTTTGAAATACTTTTTGGGATTGACGTTTCTCGTTAAGTACAAGAATTTTTCTATCTCAAAGAAAGTATGTATTGGACCTTTCACAGGAGACTGGAATGTCAGGATGTCAACTTGCTGATATACCAATAAAAGAAGGTCTGAAATTGTGTGTTGATATACCAATAAAAGAAGACTGGAATGGCATATCTCGTAAGCCGCTTCCAGCGATGTCAAGATATCTCAAATTAATGAGACGACAAAAATCTTTAGGCAGCTTCGCAAGATTTTGACAGTTTGCCAGCTTCAGCGTTTGTAAATTGTACAACTTGCTGAAAGCTTCGGGCAATCTTTCAATTTCAGACCCCGAGAGATTCAAGTAGCGAAGATGCCTTAATTCGCATATTGAATCAGGTATCTCAACCTTTCCACGGACATAAGACAAAGACAAAGCTCTCAGACACCTTGCATTCATAACAAACTCATTTGCTACTTTCTCAGGTAAGTGCCGATATTTTAGAACAAAAGTGCGCAAACGAGGTGTTTCAGAAACAACATTCGAGAATTCAAAGATATTCTTCTCTGCCATAGCATACGTAAGATGACGTGCTCGCTTGATCATCGCAATTTCCTTTGAGGTGTTGTCATCTAGGAGAAAACAATATCTTCTTGATACATGTTTAGCCAAATCAACAATAAGATCATGCATACCAAAACAGGATATCAATATTTTGTTCTTAAGCCCAAAAAAACCCATTCTCCCATGTATGTATGTAACAGATAAGCCTAGCAAAGCAAGGCATGAAAGCTGATCATACCTGATGCAGCCCATTTCCGGAACGATATCAATATTTTTGCCCCAAACACAATTATTATAGAAGAAAAGTCTAATTTTATTCTTAAAAGTTTTCAATTGATTAAATTACCATTTTTACATTTAGGAAAATTTTTGTAATAATTGGGTCTAAGAAAGTCAAGTTTTATTTTGGCTTAATTCTTGGGTTAAATATAAGTTAGTTTCTTTTTTTTTTAATTTTCAAAATTATTTTTTTTTACTAATTTTATTTTTAGTTTTCAATTGCCGTTTAGGTAGTTTAGTTTATAAATATGTTAGTTTTATTAAATGTAAGGAGAGAGAAATTTTATGAATGAAATATAAGTGTTTATACTTCTTATTTTTTCAATTTTTAATATTCTTTGTGAATTAATGAATGTTGATGATAATTTTCATTATTCTGTGTATATCAATGGATTTTTTTATTCTAGTTCTTAACTCAAACGAGCGAAATGAACGAAGAAGGCTTGGTCTATTCAATATCTTCATGGGGTAGAGAAGGCCAAAATTGCACATTAAAACTAATTTGAATTACTACCTTTATTAACAATGAATATTAATGAAATAACTATCGGATTAATAGAAATGTGAAGTATGGCGAGGTAATTTCGGTTCTAACGTTTTCTCGTCCTTCATGTGGGTTAATATAAGCATGCAATCCCATTAATTTGGTGTTTGTATCCAACAAACTAACATTATTAATTAATGGCTAGACAAGAAAGATAAAATACCCTAATTTTGAATGTAATTTGGATTGTAAACATTATTAATGAATGGCTATATATATAAATAAAATACCCAAACTAAACTTACGCCAAGAAGAACAGACCGTTGTCAAATTTTTTAAGAGAATTCTCCGAGTAATCAAATTAAGTATCTGATGCAGGTATTGGATTCTCAATTAGTGTAGCTTTCCAACAAAAATGACATCCACAATGGAGTAAAAATAGCTAACTGAATCTTACCAATTCTGATTTAATTGAAACTTGAAGAGATAATATAATGGCGGTGATTGGAGTTGTTTTTATTTTTTACATTTTTTGAGAAAGAAAAAATGAAAATGGGAGAAAAACGGCGTTTGGCACAATTAAAGACAAAAAACGGAAATGAAATTAATTTTTTTGTTTAGTATAAAATTCGAGAGAAATAAAAAACGACTTTTAGAAGTTTTTCATTTTTTGTTTCGGTTTTCTCCTCTCTTGAGCAGAGAGAGAGAGACATTAATGAATTTTTTTATATTGAAAACAATCTCTTGATAAAACTACCAAACGCGTTTTTAAAAATGATTTCTGTCTGAGATTGAAAACGTTTTCATTTTTATTTCCATGTAAAAAATAAAATCATTTTGAAACAAGTTCCAAACGCACTCAATGTGTTAAACATTCATTATGGGATTAGATGGACTTTGTTGACGATTGGCATCAATGTGAGTGAAGAAGCAAGCTCTGGACATGAACTGATGAAACAGTCAGTTAAACATGGAAGGAGGCAAGGCAAGTCTTCAGTAAGCTTCTTGCAATTCCATATAGCAAGTGTTTTTAGCTTTGGGAAAGCTTCATCTGGAATTAACCATTCCGCCCAGTTTGACATGTTATAGAAAGTTAAGAGTTTCCAATGATGTAAATGGCTTTTCACTCATTGAGCTATTCACGCAAAAATCGTGACCGACACTCACTACTGCATCAAATCCTGAAATATAAAGGTCTTTGAGGGACGACAATTGCCCAAGTTGAGGCAAACTGTGGCAATATATACAGTTAGAAAGATTTATATGGACTACATTGTAGAATGATTGATCGCCCAACAAATTTGGAAATTTTGCGCCTAAATAGTTTCTAATCTCAAGTTTCTTCAAGGTTGTGTTGGGCAATAGATTGCCAAGCACAGCCCTTTCAAGGTTCTGTGTAATCAATTTCATAATCATCAACCCATTCCAACTTCAACACCTCAAGATTCTTGTCCCTAAATTTGGCTTTCAAAGTACTTGACTTCTGGAGGCTCTTCAGTTTACCCATTTGTGTTGGCATATCTTCTAGGCTTCTTTCAACGATATCAAGATATCTCAAATTAATGAGACGATGAAAATCTTTAGGCAGCTTTTTGAGATGAAAACAGCCAGCCAACTTCAATGTTTGTAAATTGTACAACTTCATCATTTGACAGCAACAACTTCATTATTACATCCTTGTCATCATTTCTACCACAGACACCGGATTCTTCGATCAGAGACGTCGAAGGTAATCTCCATGATGAGCTCTTCCAGACCAAGGATATCCTTTTGACTCGCAATATATTCCAACCTCTCAAGAATCTCCCGATCAATTGAGTCGTAAATAGAGGAGAAGAAGTTAACTCACCTTGTTAAGGCAGCCAGTTCTTGATTCGGCTTCCATCTTGAGCTGGAGAGCATCATTGAGCACTGCAGTGACAGAGGACAGCTTTATCTTCAATTTTATGAGCAGCACATTCAAACCGGAGCTTTTCTTTCCGATCATGTAGTTTACAACTTCAGGAGAAGCCATCTTCTCAAACAGCATGTGAAGGGAAGAAGAAAGAAGAGGTCCACCCACCAATTCAGCAGCCATGATCTTCTCTTGATCAGTTCGACATCTATTTTGTACCTTACTGTGTAATTCTTCTTAATTTTTCTCAGAAACAGAAAATAAAAATAAAACTAAAATAAAATAATTAAAAAAAACTCAGAATAACACAACTATAACCTCAGGCATTATTTATAAAAGCCTCGCAAAGCAAGGCATGCAAGCTGATCATACCCTTCCACAATTCTTATCAACTCACAGTCTACAACTTTAGCAGATACAGATTTATTGTTGAAAAAAAAAAAAAAAAAAAAATTTTATTGTTAAAAAAAAAAAAAAAAAAACAAATGAGATACAGAAGCACTAAACTAAAACTTAGATTGGAGACACTTTATATAAAGCACTCGTAATCCTTTATTTATGACATGTAATTGGGCAAGTTTAGTGTTGATCCTGCACACAGAGAGAGAGAGATATTTAGCTAAGAACAAATTTAGTTGAGAAATAAGAACAAATCTAGGTGATGAAGAGATAATAGTATATACCAAAAAGCGCTTTTTGTAGAATTCAACCAGCTCCTTTGGATCAGTTTTTGTTATCTTGTAAGCATCACTCTTGTTGAACTCCTGCACAAAGGATTTATATGTTAACCAGAATTATTAATACAATGAATCAAAAATCTTGGTAAAGTTGTTGCCAGTTTCATCAGAAGAACGGGCATCTTGCGAAGAATGAGAATCTACAAGATTCTCATGTCTGGTATAAATATTACAATTTTTTTTCATTCTGAAGATAGTCTATCTGACGGAATTCACTTTACAAGATTTTGCTTGTACCAATTTTTTCATTCCTAGTCATTCTCATGGGATTCACTTTACGTAATTTTGCAGCTTTGCATGATTTTGCAGTAATTTGAATCACACTCAACAAATGCTATTCAGATTCTTGAGAATCTCAAATTTTATGGTATGGAGTTGAAAATCCTCCATCGCCAAACTCAAAAAATGAAAAGAAAAAAACAAGTAGAGCCCTTCCTATATATTTGTATTTAATACCAAAAAAAAAAAAAAAAAAAAAACCAACTGAATATCAAAGCAAAAGTAGGTTTCAAACCCCAAGACAGCAAACAACAATGTCAATCAGTCGGATAAGGAAGAGAGGAAAATGATATGTTACAAATGATTTACTATCTTACATTATGACCATACTTCGAAGCTTCTCATGGCTACTTCAGTTCCTGATTTTTCCACACTAGGATTAATTGCATTATTTGTGTTTCAGATCTATATACTTACTTTTGAGGGATATTTAAATGTTCATTTTCAAACTTATAGTGGAAAACAAAAAGGACCAGTCTATTCGGTATCTTCACGAGGGAGAGAAAGCCAAAATTGCACACTAAAAATGACTTTAAATTACCTTTATAGACAGTGACTATTAAAAAAAAAGAACTATCAAATTAATACAAATGTGAAGTACGGCGAGGCCTTTTTCTTGCAATTTCAGTACTAACAAGTAACAAAATTTTGGTCCGCATATGCGTAATATAAGTTTGGAATCCCAATTTGGTGTTTGACAACAAATTATCATCATTCATGAATGGCAAGCCAAGAATATGTTCTTTTGATTGTAAACAAAGTAGTGCATACCAAAGGCAATAATAAAGCTTGGTCAATGGATTCCAAAACGGTATATGAAGAAGTGAATGAGATTTATATTGTACCTCAAGCCAGGCAGCTAGTTTAGGCCTGCCTGCTGCGATGTCATACTTCCAAACGTCTGCTAAGAAGGCTTGGAATCTCTCAATGAATGGAATATAGGCAATGTCCACCTGAAGATTACGATGTTTTAATTTTCCAATAAATCAGTGTAATTAAGCACAGAATTTGTACATAAACCTGAAAACAAAATTTCTTTACCAACTAAAGAATTCAAGCAACGAAAGGGTCATAATAGAATCTAGTCATTAATCAACTTACCAAACTAAGCTGACCCAAGAAGAATGGACCGTCATCAAATTTTTTGAGAGAATTCTCCAAGTAATCAAATTGAGTATCTGATGCAGGTATTGGATTCTCAATTATTGTAGCTTTGCAACAAAAATGACATCCACAACAAAGTAAAAATAGCAAACCGAATCTTACCAGCTTCTTTTACTGGGTCCGACTTAAACGAATTGTAAATTGCTCCGGTGAATGTGTCAACATAGAGCAGCAACTCTTCACCAAACTTTTTTTTGGTAGGATCCTACAATTATCAAGAGAGCAAGCAATACTTTATTTAGAGCTCCTTCAAATAAAAGAAGTTTATCATGGGCACAAAAAGAAGTCAAGACAATTTTTTTTTTTTTTTTTTTTTTTGCCCTTGAGCAAATGAGAGTTCATTAAGTCTAATTAGTCAAAGACGCTAGAGATCGTTTTAGCAGGAATCGAACTGAGTATGTCTGAATTACTGACTAATCTCAAGACAAGACTATACCGGTGCGAACTAATTCTACATCACTTACATTAGGGAAAAGTGAAGGTCCTTCGAAGTTGCTATCCACATATTTGATCAGATCGAGACTCTCTCCAATGACTTTTCCATCGTGTTCCAGTGATGGCACCTACAGAAATTATTCGATAAGTGGAAAATAGAAAACAACTCTAAAGAATTTCCAAGACTAGTAATTCATTCACAATTTTTTTCATGTATATCACCTTGTTCGGAGGATACACTTTCTCCTTGTACCAAGCAGGCCTGTTTTGGAGATTTATAGGGACTAGTTTAATCTTATCTTCCAAGCCCTGCACCGATGAAAAATGACCCAAATAATTAACAAAGTGTTCCCGAGTTTTACACTTAATCTCACTTTAGTCACTAAGATTACGTCCCAAAACTGATCCCGATCTATCTTAGTGTGACAAAGTTAGTCCTCTCATCAACTAGCAGTTTAAAAAATTGATGGAAAAGATCACCCGAGTTGCGAGTTGCGCGTGGTGGGTAGTTGAATTATTGAAGTGGGTTTATCAAACTTTATAACTTATGTTTAGAGGAGAAAATTGTGTGGAATCTACTAAGAACAAATATGAACACTTACCCTTCTTAAATCAGTTAATCCAACCCTGAAAGATTGAAATGTTCATTTTACCCGCAAGGGCAGAACATGATCTATTCCGTTTAGATGTTAACATGGATGTAACATAAAGACTAACTTTGCCACAGGTAATTTTTGGGATGTTATAAAAGTCAATGACCAAAATAGGATTCGATATAAAGTTCAGGGATCGGTTTTTGGGATTAACTCTAGAAGGGAAAAAATGATAGTCCGAAAAATCCATCTAAAATTAAAATCTTTTAGACGAATACTGATAGTCTGATAGTACACATTTCTAAATATGATCACATCATGGTCATATTAATATCAAAAAGATATATATAAATTCATATGAAAACGTAGCGATCAAACCTGAGCAGTACCAATAACTATTTTCTTGTACCTACGTAGAATTCTCCAAAAAAAATAAAATAATAAAAATAAAAAGCGTAGGACAAATAGTGCCAAAAAAAACAAAATTAGTACTGAAAAAAGCAATCGAAATACCTTATAGTTTCTAGTGATCCAAACGCGCTGTACAAATGGGCAAGAATAAGAGATGTACAACCTTCCAAAAGACACAACAAAAAAAAAAAAAAAAAAAAAAAAAACCCCTCAGTTTTATTAATACACATAAAAAAAATCAATTGAACAGAAAAATAAATAAATAAATGAAAAAAAAAAAAACCTTGTAGTTCCATCAAAAAGAGGTGGTGGGTCGGAGGTGGAATCCAGAATTGGAGGAAGAACATATCCTTGCACGTTCCTGGAGAAACCCAAAACAGGAAAAACGACAGGAAATTTCAGCAGAACCAAAAAAAAAAAAAAAAAAAAATCTGGGATAGACCCAGATACAGAAAGAGCTCCAGAAAGGTTGGAGATCTTACGCGGACGCCATTGATGGACTCTTGTCTGTTGTTGTTGTTGTTAACTGGTAATGTTTAGAAGGTTGTCAGTGAGCTTATTATATACTTATATTTATAGGTTTCTTTTTTTTTTTTTTTTTTGGTTCTTTGTTTAAGCGGTAAGAATGTGGTACACAATGAAGTCTACGTGCACTAAATGGGGAGACACTTGTTCGAGAAAAAAAGAGTTGCGTTAGTACTTACGATTGCTTCTGTGGGGTTTGACGTTTGTGATTGCGTGAGGGCAGTTTTATGATAACATAATTCTGATTACTGTTCTTAGTCGCCTGATTGTACTAATAACTTTTTGAGTTGGTGTTGCGTTAGTGCTTACGTTTTTTGGTCAGTGGAGTTTGACGTTTGTGCTTGTGTAAGGGCGGTTTTATCATAACATGATTGTGATTTACCTTTTACTTAATAATCTCGTTTAGTTCGTTAATTTAATTTTTTAATTTAAATTAAGATATAATTTTATATAATAATTTTTAATTTTAATAAAAAAAAATTATATGTAATTTTTTATGAGAATTTTTAACCGTAATAAAATTAAAATTAATAAAATGAACATGCTTTTATTATTAGATTTTACTTACTTTGTTGAAGTAAGTTTCTAAATTAAAAAAAAAATGCAGAATGAGACATAGTGGTTGGGCCCATTTATTTGAGGCATTTCAATCATCAATTCAATTGAAATGCATAATAATAATACTATAGACACTAATTTAAATTTTTATATATTAACTGATGTAGTATATAACTTGATATTTTTACATTAATAAATGTGTACAATATTATCACGTCATTTAATAAAAGAGATTATATTTATAAAGATAATTTACACGATTATTCTTAACTTTTTTAATACGTGACAGTTTAATTCCTAATATTTTTTTTAATAAAACGATCTCTAACTTCTTTAAAAGATGAAAGTTTAATCATTTTCGTTAAATTCTGTTAAATTTTTAACAAAATATGTCACGTGACTTTTTCAGTCAAATGACTTAAATGTCCCTAAAAAATTGTTCTTTTTCTCCTCAATATCATGATCATCTCCGTTAATCCCCAAACACAGCGCTTCCTCCTCCTCCACCGCCATTATCTCTCCAACGCCGCCGACAACCAAACACTCCCTCCTCAGCAGCTACGCCAGCTGCTTGTACATCACCCGCTTCTTCTCGTAACCTTCCTTGGTGGATGGAGCTTTGAGGCCTGCTTGGTGACAATCTACCCCGACTCCTCCCTCTGTCAAACTCACCACCATTTACAGAAGATCCTCCAGGAAGCTTTATTCTACCTCGAAGGCGACTACTAAGGGGGCCCTCGTGTTGCGGCATCTGGTGTGAGTCTCTTCGAGAAGAACCCCTGTAATTTCGTTCATCAACATGAGTGTCATGCGCATGTTCATGACTGATGAAAGATCTCAAACCATTTACTCTCCTCTGCTTGGACAACCGATGTCTTAGACCTGACTCATCAATGTTGTCTGGACTATGAGATTTGCGATAACCCGTCCTCTCAATATGAGCAGAGGTTCAAATCAAAGCTCTGATTCTTCTGCAAAACTACAGTGCAAAACTCCGACCCTCTGACCATTCTTTTCTTCTTCTTCTTCTTCTTCTTCTTCTTCTTCTCCTCTGTCTTCTGATTGGTTCTCGTCCTTCTCTCGCTTCCTCTTCGCCATGGAAGAATCTCTTTGCTTTACAGTGCGAAGAGGGAGAAAGAGAGATGGTTTTGCAGTGTCTAGAGAGAGAGGAGAGAGCAGAGAGCAGAGAAAGAGGGGCAGAGAGAGAGCCTGAGAGATGGGGGTGAAAGGGTGAGAGAGAGCTTTCCTTGATATTTTACCCGGGGATGTTTAGTACAGTGATTCGTTCTCTGATTCGAATCATGATTCATGATTCGCTACAGTATTTTTTCTCATAAAAAATTCACGTAAATAAAAAATAATTTAAATTACATGATTTGAATCCTCCAACCAAACGTCAATTACATACTTTGTACATGATTAATTTAAATTTTTAACAGAATTTAATAAAAATGATGAGATTACATCTTTTTAAATATATTGTGGTCGTTTTATTTTTTAAAAAAAAATTAAGTATTAAACTGTCACATTTTAAAAAAGTTATAAACCATTTGTGTAAATTACTTTATTTATAAATAAAAAATGACACTTGACATGACACATTAATTAGTATATAAGAACTTCAATTTGATAAAAATTTGATTGTTTAAACTATGCAATATTGATATGATATTTTGTTTGGTGCTCTAAGAAAAAAGATTCCCATAATTGTTTTAAGATTAGAAATTAGAATTCCACAATGGTACGGAACACATGCCTAATTTTCAAGCTGAAAGATTATAGAATGGAATCACATGATGTTGTACCCGGCAACATGTTTGGATGGAAGGAAAGTGGAGTACCATTCTCATGTTTCGTTTCTTGTAAGGAATATTGATATGATATTTTGTTTGGTGCTCCAAGAAAATAAAACTCCCATAATTGTTTTAAGATTAGAAATTAGAATTCCATAATGGTATGGAAAGCTTGCCTAATTCTCAAGCTGAAAGATTATAGAATGGAATCACATGATGTTGTCCCCGGCAACATGTTATGATTTTGGATTTTTTTTAAAAATGAGGCATTAAAGAAAATGGGAAAATCCAATTCGATGTCTTATATGGGAAGATAGAGATTCCTGTGTCTTATATGGGAAGATAGAGATCCATGTGTCCTCACAAAAGAACATTTTACGGATATGTTAAGGCCTGGCATAGTGCAGGTGGCCGTGCGAGTGTCGAATCTTAGTCCAATCTGTTCGATAGCCCACACCTCCTGAGTCTATTATTAATTGGAGCCGTGGCACTTATTCTCATCTCTCAGCCACTGATCCCAAAGCTCTCCTACCAAAGGAACTCAACTCCCAAACTCTGCGCCCTTTTTCATTATCATCTACCGCCCTTTCTTTCCTCCCGGCTATTCACGCATGAAGATCGTCGTATATATGCTCTACTTCGGTTGCCGGTGCTATAGGTAGGAGTACATTATGGCAGGATCAGTCACCCGGGCAAACTAACCCTCCTCCAAGAAGAATTGTGCTATGCTTATTCATTTCATCAATTTTAGTTTTCAATTCTAACTTTGTTACAGTTAAAAGTTCTCACAAAAAATCACATTTATTTTTTTTCTACAATGAAAAGCTATCACATAAAATCACATCTTAGTTTGAATTAAAAATTTGAATCCGCGAAACGAGGCCTAAAAATTCTTCCTTTTTGTGTTTTTCATAGTTTAAAATTGTTCCAATTTTTTCTAAGAAGAGCAACATTAACATTTTCTCCAAAAAGTCACCAAAAGAACAATAAGGAAATTTGCACAATTAAGTTAATAAAACATGATAATTGAGGACTTCCTTTTTGTTGCATACAAAAGATATTAACAAACTGATCATTCCCCTAATACAAGTTGTAACTCCACAATTTTTAATACTTTTGAGATGCACAAAAACTAAAACATAACACTTGGGAAAGTTCTGATTTGGGAAATGAACCGTTTAACTAGATATGTAATTGGCACTTCTACTTCTGCACCTGCAAAGAAGAGGGACGTTCAGAAGCTAGGAAACAACATAATTATGTGAACTTAGGAAAAAAAATGTACTAGGAAAGATTAAGATAATATATTCATGTTGCTAAAAGAATGTTACCAAGTAGCGCGTTTTGTAGCTTTCAACAAGTTCTTTTGGGTCAATTTTTGTTTGCTTATAAGCATCACTCTTATTGAACTCCTGCAGTCAGGATTAGATAAGCAGAACAGTTACTACAAGGACTTCAGTAAATTGGTGATTCGTCAACTCGGTTGCCAACGACGACATCTCTCCTTAAATACTTGCAAAACAAGATAACTGCTTTTACCATTTCAAGATTAACAAAAACCAAACAACAGAATCACAAAGCACGAGGGGGTTTTGAACAAGTAGTACACAAGCAAGAATGTCAAACAATCAGAGGGAAGAGAGGGACATGGTAAGTTATGAAACTCGCCGGAAACAGTATTGAAGAAAAGAAGATATCTACCAGTGGAATAAAAAGTCAAGCATTATTCTACTTTCTAATCTGGACTTGGGGTAGGGAATCCTAGGGTCAGTTTAGGATTGCTTTTGCAGTCCACAAAAGTACTTTGCACATAAAACGATGCAACCGGTGTGTTTGATAAAAATGCACAAAAGTGCTTTGCGCCAATACAGTGCACTTTTACAATTATTTGGAGAAGCTAGATCTTTTAGCTGTTGACTTCTGATACTTGTACTTTGTCTAAAAAGAAAAGTGGTCGTTCTTTTCAAGAGCACAACAATCTCAAACCAAGTTGGTCCTCCATTTTGGTGAATGTATGTTTGCAATCCTAATTTGCTACTTTATGCAACTATCTATAATCAATGGCTAACCAAGAATATGCCCTTTTGATTGCAAACAAATTAGTGCATGAAATAGGAGGGTTAGAGAGTAAACCTTAGTCATCGAAATGCAAAATAGTATTCAAGTGGTGAGTGGATTTATATTATACCTCAATCCATGCTTCTAGTAAAGGCCTGCCTGCTGTAATGTCATACTTCCATATCTCTGATAAGAAGATTTGGAATCTCTCAACAAATGTAAGGTAGGCAATGTCCACCTGAGATCACAAAACAAAAAGATTTATCCATAAACCTAAAAACCACTTTGTTCCATCCAAAGAATTCAATGGTCGGAACAGGCAGAATAAGATCTCGGATGAAGGCCGAGATAAACAACTCACCAAGCTTAACTGACCAAGGAAGAATGGCCCATCATCAAATCTTTTAAGAGCGTGTTCCAGGTAATCAAATTGAGTGCCTGATGTAGGTATTCGATTATCATTTAGTTTCGCTTTACAGCAGAGTGATATCAATAATGGAGTAAAAGTGGACTGGCTTTGCTACAAAATCTTACCAGTTTCTTTTACTGGGTCTGATTTAAACGAAGAGCGCACGGCTCCAGTGAAGGTGTCAACATAGGATAACAACTCTTCGCCAAACTCTCTTTTAGCAGAATCCTAGAATGTTTCGAAAATACTACTCGTGAAAATTCCTTGGGATAAAGAAAGTTTTTTTATCAATAACTTCGACGTGACTTACATCAGGGAAAAGTGAAGGCCCCTGAAAGTTGCTGTCCACATATTTGATCAGATCAAGACTCTCCCCAATGACTTTCCCATTGTGTTCCAAAGCTGGCACCTGCACATAAGGAGCCTTCTGCAATCAATGAAAAACTCGAGGCAAATTCCCAAAAAAAGAAGTATATCCCAAGTTTAAGCCTAACTCGATGGTTCACTCAATGTTATCAGAAATTTAGGGCCCGTTTGGTATATGGGTTCAAACCATAGTTCAAACCAATAGTGTTGATTATGACTTGAAATTCAAATTTTTTTGTGAGAGAGAAACATTGTAGCAGAATCAAAACCATGAGTTTGAACCCATGAGAAACCCATGTATCAAACATACCCTTAATAAGCATCCCTTGTATGTTAGACAAGGTAACACATGGTCCCTTGGCCGATAAACATTTTTAAAATCCTAAAAAAATGCCCCTTTCTTCCAACCCTATGAATCGTAAAAATTGACACTCTTGTATTTGGCAATTCTTGAAGTATGTATTATCACCTTGTTCTCAGGGTAGACTTTTTCCTTGTACCAAGAAGGCCGGTCCTTAAGATTGATACCGACTAATTTAATCTTATCTTGCAACCCCTGCACCAGAAAAAAGGAAAATTACCATAAGAATAACAGAAAATGATTGTGAGGAGCCGACGTTGATACATACTTAAACCATTCCTCCTCAAGAGACTAGCTTATCAAGCAGAAGAGGGATTAACTACTTAAACTAGATGTATGACGACATTCCACCATGCTTCCAAACCAACATCCGCGGCAATAACCGAAGCGGGCAACCAATCTGATGAACGAGCGTGCCATGTTGTGACTCGAAGTTAGGACGTGTTCTTTTCACTTACATGAATGTTGGGAGCTCATGCGGCCCTGCACTCTAATAGGGTCCCCGAGTTGGGGGCTGGTGATGCCCCCTAGCCATGCTCTTTCTCATACACCAATAGATACATATGTGAGAAATACCCAATGCAAAATAAAAAAAGAAAAGAGAAGAGACAAGAGTTGTAATGCCAAAATTTTATTGCAATTGCAGAGAAAACCTAATTCATTGAATTAATTAACAAAGAGAGGTTTATATAGCCCTACAAACATAATAATAAAAGACTAATCTACCTTTACTAATAAAGAGAATTAACCAAATTAGTAAATAACCAATCCTAACCTAAAATAAAGATAAATATTGTTAACAACATGCTCAAATCATTCCTCTTCAAAAGACTAGAAAAGGGCTAAATTAATTAAATCAAATGCAGAGATAAATCCAAAGGCCAAAGACCAAAGAAAATCAATATTGCATTAACTTGGACAAATTATAATGAGACTAAAAGGAACCCCAAAGTTTAGGACTTAAACAACCTTGTAGTTTCTCGTGATCCAAACGCGCTGTGCATATGGGCAAGAGTAAGAAGTGTACAACCTTCAAAAAAAGGCAAAGGCAAAATGTAACAAATTAACGTGAGAAACGTATGCAAAAATGCCTGGAAATCAAAGCATATATAGCAAACGACAATGAGTTAATGAAAGGTTAAACATATAATTGAGGAAAGCAAAACAAAAACGAGAAAGTAAGCAGGAGAGAAGGGGAGACTAATACCTGGTAGTTCCATCAAAGAGAGCTGGTGGGACGGAACTGGAATCCAACGCCGGCGGAAGATCTTTCACGCACCTATTTAAAAAAATAAATAAATAAATAAATCCATTAGAGCAAGAATTCAATTAAAACCCAGATGCAAAAAGTGCTTAAGAATTGTCAGCGAGCTTACATGGACGCCATTGATGTTGTTTTTCGATGGAGTTGGATGAATTTTTTATTTTTATTTTTTTCCCAGTTGTCTTGTCACTTCGCCACTACGTAAAAGTTGCCTACGCACCAAGTCCAACAAAAATTTGATATATTTATGTACTTTTATTTTTGCTGCGATTTGTGTATCACATTTTTTTGAAACATATTTACAAACTGTGTAAAAAGAAAGTACGTCGGCATGCTTCACCAGACAAATTGTTCTCATCTTTTGTGGTTGAAAATTGGTTAAACAACTAATTTACGTGGCAGAGTTTTAAATCTGAATTTACTTTGATTTTAGTACGTTTTGGGTCAATTTAATCTGTTTTTATGTTAATTTGGATTTCAGAAAAATCCTAACTTTATGATTATGGCTGTTGGTTTAAATATGATTTGATACACAATTATATAACATGATCTACCTTTTTTTTTTTTTTTTTTTTTTTTCCG